TGTTGCAGCAAATCACTTAATTTCATCGTTCCTAAAGCAAGGTAGTTATTATTGAAACTTGACTTAGAAAGGTGTGTGACCCAAAAGGAGAAAGAGAACAAAAGGGAATGCCCTGCCATAGAGGCAGGGTGGGATGGGGGGGATGGGGGGGTGGGAGAGATACTGGGATCCATGGTGGTGGGAAATGGGCAATGGTGGAGGGATGGGTATTTGATCATTGTATAATTGAAATCCAAGCACAAAAATTTGTAAGTCTACAACTGTACCTCATGGTGTTTCACTAATAAAAAGAAAAAAAAAGAATTAAAAAAAAAGAAAGAAAGGTGTGTGAGAGGGGAAGAAGCACATGTTTGAGAGAGAACAAAAACTTCTCCAGAGTGGAAAAAAAAACATTTTTTTAAAAAATGTGGCGTGGCATCTTTGAAGATACCATTAGCTGAGATCAGCACCAGGAGGATTACTCCATAACTTAGAGGCCAGCCGGGTATCCTAGAGGAAAGGGCAGTTCAGATAGAGAAGGGAGCACCAAATAAAGGATGTTTGGAGGATCCTCCCAGGAGGGGAGATGCATGTCGAAAGTAGACTATGGACTGAACATGTTTGCCACTCAATGCCTCTTTTGCAGACCACAACACCCAAAAGGAGAGAGAGAACACAGGGGACTGCCCTGCCACAGAGACAGGGGGGATGGGGGATGGGGGTGGGAGGGATATTATCCATGGTGGTGGAAAATGGGCACTGGTGGAGGGATGGGTATCTGATCATTGTATAATTGAAACCAAAGCACAAAAAATTGTAAATCTACAACTGTAAAAAAAAATAAAATAAAATAAAGGGAAAAAAAAACCTAAAAAACATAGAAAATCATGTGAGAACATGGACTTGAGCAAGACACACTTTCTGACTTTTTAACTGGCCACGGAGCTGCAGAAAGATGGGAATCTCCAACTGAAAGAGTCGCTTCACCACCCTTGGCAAGAGCAGAACTGGTCTCCAAAGGCTGCTGGAGCTCGGAGCTGGTCCCAAGGCAGTGGTAGCGACCTTCCCACATGGTAGGGCAAACTGCTGAGACAAAACTGCTTTTTAATCAAAGTATCACATACTTCTACTGCAGATGCTACATGCACAACTCAAAACGTTTTTCTTTGTTAAACATAAACACTAGAGGCTCAGGAAGAACTATTGTTCCCTCAGCCAATTTGATAAGAAACTTGTTCCCATTTATCTTTGATAAATGGAGTTGAATGTCTCTTTTCTGGGAATCCACTGTTCTGTGTTCCCTGTTCTTTCTCTCTTTGTTGGGGGTGGGGGTGGGGGCCAGCTAGAAGTTCTCAGGGGCTATTCCAGGTGATGCTTGAGGTGGTGCCAGGGATCTGAACTGGGTTGGCCACATGCCAAGCAAACACTTTAATCCCTGGACCATCTCTCCAGCTTGGGCCGTTTCACTTTCAAAGTAGCAGTCCTTATTTTGCTAATTTGAAACTACACTAATGACTCTCTAAGAACAGTATGTACTAATGACTCTCACTTTATATGCTAATATTTTCCCCACTTTAACCTCTTTTTGCTCGAGCGGGCCCAGTAACGTCTCCATTGGAGACTTTGTTGTTACTGTGTCTGGCATATCGAATACTCTCGGTAGCTTGCCGGGCTCTCCGAGAGGGGCAGAGGAATCGAACTCGGGTCGGCCATGTTGGTCCGCGTGTAAGGCGAACGCCCTACCCGCTGTGCTATCGGGCTGGAGCGATAGCACAGCGGGTAGGGCGTCTGCCTTGCATGCAGCCAACATGGCCGACCCGAGTTCGATTCCTCCGCCCCTCTCGGAGAGCCCGGCAAGCTACTGAGAGTATTCGATATGCCAGACACAGTAACAACAAAGTCTCCAATGGAGACGTTACTGGGCCCGCTCGAGCAAATCGACGATCAACGGGAGGGCCTTTACCTTACCTTTACCTAACCTCTTTTTAATTTTGCTACCCACTAGTTAATATTAATGGGGAAGAGTTCTCTGCTCTTTTCCTTTGTGGTTTTTTTCCCCCTTCCATTTTTTTAATTATTATTTATTGAACCACCGTGAGAACAATTACAAAGCTTTCAGGTTTAAGTCTTGGTCATACAATAATCAAACACCCATCCCTTCACCAGTGCATATTTTCCACCACCAAGAACCCCAATATACCCCCCATCCCACCCTTCCCCATGCCTGTGAGGAAGATGATTTCCACTTAACTCTCTCTACATTCATGATTTCGACAAAAGATGCACCATTATTATTTGGAATTCCCCCCAACAATCAAACCTGCTGAAAAGGCATCATGGAGTAATTTGGTTTCTATTGTTGGTTATGAAGACCATATGATGTCACCGGCCACTATTGTGGCCACACGATTTTGGATTTCTGATATTTTACTAAGTCTGGAGGGATTCCTGCCAAAAGTTGCATAGTTCCGAGATTGGTTTGTGTGCCTCTGGGTCCGTGGCCGTGCCAGAGAGACGCTCGTTGGGGGGCAACTCGTGGTCTCGGCGGGGAGGGAAGGACATGCCGGTTCCGCCTCCCATCCCATGAGGCCACAGTTGCCCTGTCACTGCTGGCTCATACCTGGCTATCCAATTCCCCCTTCTATGTTACAAAGAGACCCATCTCATGAGATGGGTCTCATTCTCCTAAAGAGCCTTGAATATAATCTCAGGGCTAGGATGAAAGAGACGTTACTGGGGTCTGCTCGAGGCAATCGACGAATAACAGGATGATGAAATGAAATGAAATGAAATGTTACAAAGATGCTTAGAGGACATAGATTTAATTGACTTCCCAAACTATTTGGGAAACCTAGTAATATGAGGAACTGGAGCGATAGCATAGATGATAGCATAGTGGGTAGGGCGTTTGCCTTGCACGCGGCCTTCCTGGGTTTGATTCCTCCACCTCCTCTCGAAGAGCCCAGCAAGCTACTGAGAGTATCCCACCTGCATGGCAGAGATGAAGCTACCCGTGGGTATTCGATATGCCAAAAACAGTAACAAGTCTCACAATGGAGACATTACTGGTGCCTGCTCAAGCAAATCGATGAACAACGGGAGGACAGTGCTACAGTGCTATTGTGGTTAGAGTCTACCAGTCCTGGTGTATCTTAAATAACTCGTCATATATTCTTATACTGTATGAAATGTATGGTTTTCTCCCCCGCCTATGTTACAAGCTGTTCAGAGGACACGGATTTAATTGACTTTCTAAACTATTTGGGCAACCTACTTTCGTTATATGAGATAACCATGTCATGTTGGAAACATTAAAATATCTGAATATATCTATCCTAGTAGTCTCCTGATCACTCAAGTCTGTTTTCACTTAGACATGTAACTCCCGGAGCAGTCTACTATGCAAAATGTCTCATATGCTGTCATGTATCCATGAACACTGCTCAGTATCAGCCATGTACCATACACCCTAAGCAGTGAACCAGACAAGTACAGTTCTTCCCCTGACATCCCACCTTCTCTGGCAGAAAGACAACCTTTAGACATTTCTACCAGGGACCCATCACAGTTGCATTTGGTGCCACAAAGGGCGAAGGATTCCCTTTGCGGCTGGGAGACCTGCTACACATCTCCCCATTTTTCCATGCATCCACTAAGGCGGCACTCACTTAGCCTGAAGGAGCTGTTCTGATTTCCAGTGGGAAATGCCAGAGAGAATGCTGAGACTGATCGTTGGCATATTCACCCGAGGTCTCAGGCTCCAGTGAGATGAAGGGGAAAAAAACAGCTTAAAGAGAACCTGAAAACATTCGGGGCAAAGTTCCACCAGTGCAACATTGCTGGGCAATGGTGTTGGAATAGTGCAGCTCTATTCCTGAGCAACAGCGAGATGGCAGATGATGCTCTTGTAGCTAAACAAGGCCCCCAAACAAGCAAAAGGGGAAGACACCCCAGTGCGGTACCATCTTTGTAAAATCTTATCACACCGAAGGTTGTGTGTTCACGGGCTCACTGGATGGCTCTTTCTCACCGCCTGCGTTCGGTGCTCTTGAGTCCTGTGTGTGGCCTGGATCAGGACGGCTATTCTTTCTCTCAAGCTTGAGTCCCTCTCACTCTGACTCTCTATTCTCCGAGCTTACAGTCTTAGTTTATATAGCAATCACGTAAGGCGGTGACATAAAGGTGGGTTGAATATTGACAAATCAACAAAGAGAGGTAATACAACTCCTCCAGGAGATTAACTCAAGGATATAATCTCATCTAAAGAGATTACTCCAGATTACTAGGAGATCAGTTCAAGGGTGGGATCCCATAAAGGGTATGTTCTTCCCTCAGTTAGTAATCTACTTCAATAGTTATAATAAATCTACTTCTAATATTTCTAGCAATGTCATTCTGTATGAGCACAGTAAGAGATATAAACTTTGGTTCTTCCTGAGAACATCTCACTATACATTCCGCAGTCCTCAGGCTAGGTTAATCTTCCTAGCTCTAACAGGGTCCTAGTCTCGTTGTTACTTACTTTGGATCATGACAGCATTTGTCCATGATCATGCCCTCAACTTATAGTTGAGTATCATGGCGCTTTGGCCTGGCCCATTTCGATGCCAGGGTAGCTCACAGCTTGCCCTAGGTCCATTCAGTCCATTGTCGGGACCCTGCTTTTGGGGTGCTAAGAACTAAGGGCAACTGAGTCAAGAAAGCAGATGTCCAGGAGTAAATATTATTCGGAGTCAATCAACTCCCAAGTTACAAAGCATAATATTAACTGTCTTCCTGTGTCCACACAGAAAGGACACTGCTTACAATACAAGTTCAGTGTCCTTAGATGGGTGTGACCTGATAAACCTAAGCTACCTGAGGAAGGACAAAAGAGTGTTATCCTACAATCTTGACCCTTGTAAGGGGTGAAAACCAGCAGTTCTTTTACACCCTAATTTTCTCCCTATTGGTGTCCTGACTTTTGATACGTTTCAAGTTGTGAGTAACCAGCTACCAGAGTTTTAAAAGATGAGACCAAACAAAATCAAAACTTGGTTTATCAAAACAAAACAGAACAAAGACCCCACAGCTTTTCCAGCCAGGAAATTCTACGGTGCCGAGAATGAGTATATCACTGAAATCAAGTTTTCCAGCGCTCTGCCTGAGAACAGATAAATACAAGCGACCCTCTTCTTCAGAAAAGTCTTCTGCACTTGAAGCCTCCCTCCTGGAAAGCCTGACAGTTACATATCAATTTGAATTTATATTAAAAAATTAAAAGCTCAATTGTTTTACCCGAGAAAAGATCGTGAAACCCACAGGTATTTTTTTATTGAAAAAGAAGCCTGGTGTCTCTAAAGGCCGGGCAGCGCCGAAGGGCTGGCCATGTCGGAATCGTGCATGTCCACACCTGTGCCGCAAGGCTGCCCACCCACTCATCATACACCGAGCCGCACTTTCTGAACCTCCATGGGCTGCAGTCAGAAAGGGTTACCCCCAGCCCTGGAACAGCCAACTTCTGCTTCTCTTGGAAACGAGGCGGATGTGCGTGACCATGACCAACCCTGCACGCCAGGGTCTCCTACTGGAGGTGGACATCAGGGCAGGCTGCCTGCTTTCCCCAAACAGGCTGACAACTCCCACTCCGGCCCCCTCAGGGCGCTGATGCCCCTATTTTGTCGCCTGAGTGGCCGGACTGTCCAGTATTTCTATCTTGCCTTTCCCACAGTGGGACTGAGGGAGCTTGATGTTGTCGATGGTGACCTCAGGGGATGGGGCGTCCTCTTCGTCCTCGGATTCGGAGCTGTCCAGCGAGTTCTCTTCGGAGCTGTCCTCTTCTTTGGAATCAGGACTCATCTCGAACAAGGCCACATCCTATAGAACAAGCACCATGTGGGTATTTCAGGAAGGTCCCCGACTAGCTGCAAAACTGCCTGGGGAGCCCCAGAATGTTTCAGCACGAGAGATTGTCTTTATCCTGTCCCACTGCCAGCGCTGACCTGGACAGGTCGCATTTACGGCACTCAGGAAGGGCGTCCCGAACCCTTGTTCTCCATCTCCGGAGTCTACCTGACACTGCCTGTTCCCCATCCATTTGGCAAGTGTCAGTCTGGACCATGAGCACCCACTCAAGGTCAAGAGTGGGGACAGTGGGGGGAAGGCATCTGTCGTGCATGCAGTCAACTCCAGGCCGACCCCCTTGTGATCCCCGGGCAAAGTCAGCCCTGAGCACCAGCAGGTGAGGCCCCCCCAAACCAAAGAATAAAAAAATGATTCCCTTGGATATGAGGAGATATATGTAGAGGACATACGTGCACACCTGTATATGCAATAACACATGCTTGTAGGTGACAGGAAGACCCTGAGTGAAGATCAGAATGGGCAGGGAAAGGTCAGGAGCGGGGCCAAGTGGGGAGTGACCATGAAGGTCCGTCCTCCATCCGGGACCGGGGGCTGCCCTCCGCGGGAATAGCAGCAGGGTCTGGGGTTCTGTATGAACTCGGTACCAGCACTTACACTGCCGGCAATGCTATCCAACACAAGCATACAACAGGATCCCCGAGCAGGGAGCCCAGATTAAGAGGCAATGTTCACATGTGGCTTATGTAATCTGTCATTCTGGTAGCACTGCAGCACTGTTCTCCCATTGTTCATCGATTTGCTTGAGCGGGACCAGTAACGTCTCCATTGTGAGACTTCTTGCTACTGTGATTGGCATATCGAATACGTCACAGGGAGCTTGCCAGGCTTTGCTGTGCCGGCGAGATACTCTTAGTAACTTGCTGGGCTCTCTGAGAAGGGCAGAGGAATTGAACCCGGCTCAGCTGGGCCAGCCGTGCGCAAGGCAAACACCCTACCGCTGTGCTATCCCATCATTCTGGTAAAACACATTATTTTGGTAGTGGGAGGGGGCACACCCAGTAGTGCTCAGGACTTTAACTCTTGGGTCTGTGCTCAAAGATCACTCCCGGTGGGGCTTGGGGGGCCAGGTGTGATACCAGGGATCGAACCTGGGTCAGCCTCGTGCCAGGCAAGCACCCTGCCTGCGGCACTATCTCTCCGGTCCCTATTTTTGTCCTCTTCATGGGTCAGGCTCACTACATCTTTCTGCCTTGTTCTGTTTTGGGGTTGCATCCTCCTGTGCTTGGAAGCCGTAGATGCTACCAGGGGAAAGAAGCCAGGACCAGCACTTCTTGGTGCCCCCATGACAACAAACAGTGAGGCCCTTACTTCATGAAACGAAATGAAAAACCAAGCCAAGTTACCATCTGGATGACTTTCCCCAGAGTCCCATCAATCTTCTCAATATTGAAATGGTCGGGCGGTGCAGTGGTCATGTCTTTCCTCAGCTTTTCGTTGGCCTTAGCCATCTGCGGGAGGAAGCTCTGTACTTGGTCCAACACTACGGAAAGAGAGTGCGGTTTTTAGGAGTATCCTGCTAAACTCCAACTTTATCATTCAAATTTAAGGATCTATCAAATTCCTCCCATTTAAAAAAAAAATTAAATTCCCTCCTCTTGTGGATTCAAAAGCAATAGCACAACATGAGGGGGCAATTATTTCTCAATGTTTTCTTATTATTTTACTTATCCCCAGAACTGTCCTTTCTATTATCTGGGCACACAATAAGCATTATCTGAACAAGGAACTAAGAAAGCACACCCAACTTTTTGGATCAGACCAAAGAGATTTTTTTGCTGTTCTGTTTTTTTGGGGGGTGGCAGGGTGTGTGTGTGATGCTCAGGGGTTACTCCTGGCTCTGCACACAAGAGATTACTTCTGGCAGTGCCGGTGGGACTATATGGGGTGCGAGATCAAACCCAGGTCAGCTGTATGCAAGGTAAGCATCCTACCCATTCTACCATTGTACTGTCTCTCTGGCCTCAACTGAAAAGATGAAGAGAACTCCTGCCGTACCTCTCAATGTCTGCATTACCCAGGCCTGTCAATGAAGTAAAGACTGTTATCACCTGCCCAATAGCTGTTCCCCTTTCTTCTTCGAGACGGAAGGGGAGGGGGACAGACCCGCCAATGCTCAGGGCTTACGCCTGGCACTGTACTCAGGGATCATTCCTGGTGGGGCTCAGGGGACCATCTGGGGTGCCAGGGATCCACTCACTGCAGGATCTCTCCAGCCTCCCCTCCGTTCTCTTAAGGGTTCTCTGACACCCGCCCCCTCCAATCCTCCTCCAGGTGCCAAGGACAAAACCCAATTGTGTAGGAACAGAAACAACTGATAGAAATCAAGCAGAACACGTGTGGCCATTAAACTCATACCTGGCTAGTGGGAACACAAATTATATACCCCAGAAGGAAAAGAGTTTGGTAATTTCTTCTTTATTTAAAAAAAAAAAAAAATATATATATATATATATATATATATTCATTCTGGGGCCAGAGAGATTGTACAGTGGGTAGGGCGCTCACTTGTGCATGGCAAATCTGGGCTTTTTTCCTAGCATGAATGAACCTAAGCCCTACCAGGAGTCAGTCAGTCAGTGTCACACACACACACACACACACACACACACACACACACACACCTTCTATGTAACCCAGCAATTCCACTCCTAGATATGTATCCTTCCCTACCAGGAGTCAGTCAGTGTCTCACACACACACACACACACACACATACACACCTTCTATGTAACCCAGCAATTCCACTCCTAGATATGTATCCTTCCCAGCCAGTATCCCCTTTAAAAAAAACCCGTTCCCACACAAAAGCTCACATATGAACAGAGACCAGGCAGTGGTTTTAGAATTAGTACACACTCTGGTTAAGTTACCCTCTCCTCTCAAAATACTTATATATTTTACCTCACAGCTGAACTACTCTCATTCACATTGTTTTCACTGAATTTGTCTTTTTTTGCCTTTTTTTAAAGAGTATCTTACATAGAAGCCACGTGTTACATGAAAGAGTCAAGGAAGTAAAAGAGAATAAAGCAATGTTTTCACCCAAATGCAGACTATGAATGACTGAAACAAATGAAGTAGAAAGGAAAACCCCTTAAAGCCGGTGAAAAGTGTGCTGGAGAGGGAGCGGCTGAGGAACAGGCAGAGGGATGGCAGGGAAACACTGGTGGGTGCGGGGAATCCCATAGGTAGGTGTGGAATGTTTTCAAATCAAAAGATGAAGATAACTCACACCTGTGTATTAGCACTGGGACCCAAGGCCCAGATGGCACAGGAAGAGCACTTGCCTTACACTTGTGTGGTTCAGGCTTGATAGAAAGAGACAAATAGACTGACACTGACTCTCTCTCTCTCTCTCTCTCCAGTCATCTCAATTTTATTGCAGAAGTTAACAGCAACTGTTCTGTATTACAAAAATCCATCCCACAATATTTTTTTTTTTTGCTTTTTGGGTCACACCCAGTGATGCACAGGGGTTACTCCTGGCTCTGCACTCAGGAGTTACTCCTGGCGGTGCTCAGGGGACCATATGAGATGCTAGGAATCGAACCCGGGTCGGCTGCGTGCAAGGCAAATGCCCTACCCGCTGTGAGGAGGAATTCCTCAAGCCAGACAGCATCGAGCACAAGACGGTCTCTGTCCCTGACCCAGAGAGGCACCCGGCGGGGTTCCCAGAGGCCAGTTGCCCACGACCTGCTGAGTCAGACACACAAGCTGCCAGGGAATAGCCGCTGAGGTCAGCGGACGGGCCAGGAGAGGGACCCCTGGGAGCCGGCGGGAGAGGTGAGGGCACTCACGGGGGCTCCGCTCGATTCGAACTGTTTGAAGAGTGGAATTCTTTTCGGACTTAGGCTTGGAGTTGATGAGCAGCTTGTCCCATATACCTGAAAACGCAGACACGCCTTTTTTAGAGTCAAGAAATCTGAGGGAGCAGGGGGAGCCCACCAGCAATCTCCCCTGGACCTCCCCCCCGTCTCCACATCCTCAGGACATTCCCAGAGAGGGGTGCAAGGGTAAGGAGAGAGGGAAGAGGAAACCTAGGAAATGTACACTGGTGAAGGAACAGGCGTTGGGATATTATATGACTGAAACCCAATCATAAACAACCCTGTAACTGTATCGGACTGTGATTCAATTGAGAGAGAGAGAGAGAGAGAGAGAGAGAGAGAGACAGAGACAGAGATATTTTTTTCAGAAAGCCTCCAAGCCCTGTTTAACCAGGCTCCCTTCTTAGCCAGCCTCAAGTGTCTGGGTCACTAGCCCCAAGACACACCAAGCTGCACCTTTCAGGATCGAAAGCCACTAGCAACAAGTGTGGGGTCCTGTCAGGACAGATGAGAGGACCGAGTCCAGCAGTGGTTGAGTGAAGCTAGAAATAGTTTTCATCTGCAAACGTATTTAAAAAATGACCTCAGACTCTGCTTCATTTCTAAAACCCGCTGGCTGAGACCAGTCGCCTCCCTCACCCCAGACCTTTTGTGTCTCCTCATTCTCAGCTCAAAGCAACCTGACTCTCCAGAGCTCAGATGACAGGACTCGCCTTCCCAAACTCAAGGCTCTGCACATTCCACGACACTCTGCTACAAAAATGCTGCTCACTTGCAAAGCAGAGCTCAACAAATGTTGGTGGCTGACCACTTACTGGAGAAGTGTAAAGAAAAGGGGAGTGTGGGGCCGGAGAAATTATACACCCCAGAAGGAAAAGAGTTTGGCAATTTCTTCTTTATAAAAAAAATAATATTCATTCTGGGGCCAGAGAGATAGTACAGCAGGTAAGGTGCTTGCCCTTCCAACTGGCTGACCAGGGTTTGATCCCTGGCACCCCATAAAGTTCCTAGAGCAACAACACCAGGAGTGATTCCTGAGCACAGAGCCAGAGGACAGAAGCTCAGTAACCCCTGAGCATTGCCATGTATGCTGTTCCCCCCAAAGAAAGAAAGAAGAGAGAAGGAAGGAAGTGTATGCCTTGCAATAATGAGAGCTGGGTTCAATCCCTGGCATTACAAAACAAATTTTAATTAAAAAAAATTAAGAATACTGGGGCTGGAGCAATAGCACAGCGGGTAGGGCATTTGCCTTGCACATGGCTGGCCCCGGGTTCATTTCCCAGCATCCCATATGGTCCCCTGAGTACCGTCAGAGTCATTCCTGGGTGTAGGGGCAGGAGTAAACCCTGTGCATCACCAGGTGTGACCCAAGAAAAAAAACAAACCCAAAACAAAACAAAAACCTCTTAGACTGCCTTTAATGATCTCACTGGTAGAATGGCCACAGCCAAGGAAAAGGTTGGTGAAATTAAAGATATGGGGGCTGGAGTGATAGCACAGCAGGGAGGGCATTTGCCTTGCATGTGGCCGACTTGGGTTCGATTCCCAGCATCCCATATGGTCCCCTGAGCACCGCCAGGGGTAATTCCTGAGTAACTCCTGTACATCGCCGGTGTGACCCAAAAAGCCAAAAAAAAAAAAAAGAAGAAAAAGAAAAAAAAAGAAATTAAAGATATGATAAAAAACAAAAAAACTGATGGGGCTGGAGAGATAGCACAGCGGGTAGGGCATTTGCCTTGCACGTGGCTGACCCAGGTTCGATTCCCAGCATCCCATATGGTCCCCCGAACACTGCCAGGAGTAATTCCTGAGTGCATGAGCCAGGAGTAACCCCTGTGCATCGCCAGTTGTGACCCCCCCCAAAAAAAATAACTCTCAGAAAAATAATCATAAGAGCCAAAGAAAGAAAAGTGAGGTTATATGAATTCAAAACCTGGGTGGTGGGGAGGTTTTTTTGTTTTGTTCTGGAGGTACAACCGGCAATGCTCAGGGCTTACTCCTGGCTCTGCACCCAGGGATCACTCCCAGGGGTGCTCAGGGGTTCAATGAGATGCCGGGGATCGCATCTGAGTCAGATGAGCAAGACAAGTGCCCTACTCACCTGCATTATGTCCCCAGTCCCTCCAAATGTGGCTTTAACCACGTTGCAGTCACCTGCCTTCCAGCAAGTCGCTGAGCTACACTGCTAAACGATGTGGCTCAGTTTCCTCAACTATGAAAAAGGAGGGAAAACACACCCTTCCCCACGCAGCAAGGCTGAATGCAGTTCTTAGCGCCTAAGCACTGCAGAGCAGAGCACCAGAGTTGGCTCTTCCAACCCCTCTGCCTGCCCCTTATCCTCACACAACACTTTTCTCCTAGCTAACATCTCCAGAGGCTGTGTCCAGTCCTCTGGCATGCCTGAGAAGAATTCTGCAGGTTCCAGGGGCTGCAGAGATCTTAGAGCGGGGAAGCAGTTTTGCAAGTGGCCCACCTGGGTTTCATCCCCTGCACCCCATATGGGTCCTCTAACATCCCCCACCAAAAGTGATCCGTGGGCGCAGTGCCAGGAGTAAGCCCCGGGCACCACCGCACCGCGGGGAGGGTTCGAAGGTGGGGTGGGGTAATTCCAAAACAAACGGACAGAATTAGAATTCTATAGGTTCCAGAGGTTCACCTTCATTTCCCAGGGGGCGAGAAAAGAGAGTGTAGGGGGTGGAAACGGATCTCAAGTCCCACCAGTCTTCAGGGCACTGCCCTTCCCAGGCACACGCGCTTACAATCTGCTCCAGGATCTGAAATCCAATGTCCAGGTCCCTGCTGCCCCTCAACAACAGAGGTGGTTCTGCGGGCATGTGGGGGGCAATCTGCCCCCCCAGCCCCCCGAAAGCCCCCTCCCCAAGGCCCACCCTTAGGGGAGGGGTCTTCCCGGGCCTTGGGGACGGTCGGCAGTGCGCAGGACAGAAGAACATGTCGCGTCCGCCCCTCCACCACCCCACAGGGCTCCCCTGCAGCTGCCAGCCCTGTGTCCCCTCGGGGATGGTGCCAGGCCTGGACAGGGGGACCCCGGCGCCCCACGTGCGCGCCCTCCGCCGCCTCCCCCCGCCAGGCACCTGCGCCGCCGCTCCCTGCAGTCAGCAGTTCCTGGGACACCGAGACCCTCGCGCAGTCCCGGGCGGCCGGAGAGCAGCTCGCGGGATCCCGGGGGTCGCCGTGCACCTCCATGCCGCGGCACGCTGCAAGGCCAGCCCCCTCCAGCCGGAAGCAGGAAGAAGTGCTAGGACAGGGGGCGGGCCCAGAGCTTCTATTGGAGGAGATGCGGCGGGGGCGGGGCAAAGGGCGGGGCGAGGGAGAGGGCGACACCTAGCGGAAGTGCGAGGCTATTTCTGCGGCTTGGGAAGAGAGAAGAGAACCAGTTCAAGTGTGGGGTGTGATGCAGCGGTGTTGGGGACCTTGGGAAGTGGAGGTAGGTACCCTGGTGATGGCTGTTGTGCTGGAGTTATGGGCTCGAGGAACCATTATTAGGAGCATTATTAGAAGCAGTATTGCAAACCACAGAATCTCCATAAAATTTTTAAAATAAAATTTAGTTATGATAAAAAAAATTGAGTTCTCTCCCTCCCTCCCTCTGTCTCTGTCTCTCTGTCTCTGTCTCTGTCTCTGTGTCTCTTTCTCCCTCCCTACTTTTGGGCATTGTGATTTGCAAGACAGATACTGAACGGGATGTCTATTCCTTTACCTCCGCTTCACACACTGTTCTTCTCCAGCACAATCACTCCCTGCTATTATTGGCATACTGGTCCCTTCTCTATCTTACTTACCCTCCACCCCACGCATTCTTGTGGTTGAGCCTAACCACTGACCGGTCCTCCTAGCCCCTGTTTTCCCTGGCCATGGATATTAGTATTCTAATATATATATATATTTTTTATAGCCCACAAATGAATGTAGTCGTTCTATATATGACTCTCTCCTTCTGACTGATTTCACTCTGCATGATAATCTCCAAGTCCATCCATTTATAGGCAAATTTTAAGACTTCATTTTTTTTCTAACAGCTGTATTATTCCGTAGTGTACATGTGTCGTTACATCGTTTCTTTATCCATTTGTATGGCAGGCAAGCCAGGGAGGGGAGGGTGATGGGAGGGAAACTGGGGACACTGGTGCTGGGAAGTGTACACTGGTGGAAGATGGGTGTTGGAACACTGTATGACTGAAACCTAATCATGAACAGCTTTGTAAGATTCTATCTCACTGTGATTCAATGATTTAAAAAAAATCTTAAAAAAAGAAAAAGTGCACTCTCAGACCAGCAAATAGCACCAGATTCTGGCGAAAGATATCCGAACATGAACAAGGCACTACAGAACTGTTCTCTTCTTTGTTTTCACAATTATTTAATTGTGGTAAAAAAAAACATAGTTTATTCACATTGCTGTGATTTCGAAAATGCGTTCATCTCCCTAGTTTGAAACTCGCTGTCTACAGAACATTTATTCCACAACCACCATTTTATTTTCATGAGAGTTTGAGGACTTATCTGTGTGTCATGCAATGGCTGTCTTTTTTTTTTCTATCGGGCTTATTTGAATTAGCAAAATGTCTTTAAAGTTAATCCATATTGTAGAAGGACCTCAGCAATTGCATTTTGGAAAACCAGATTGCATTTTGTGCCTCAGGGTCATGAGTTTACCACCTAGTAAGGAAACCATGCCACACCCCAAGGGCGTGGACATAAACTCCCAGACATCTGACTGCAGATAATAAGGATGATCCAAGGGAATGTAACAAGATGTGTTCACCGCTCTGGTTCACTCCTATACCCTCCGCTTGCTGGCTTGAGGCCGTGAGAATGCACCTGGCAGGGGGCACCCAGGCATGCAGGCAGGCACCCAGGCACGTAGGCAGGAGGGCACTGTTGTCCGTTGTTCATCGATTTGCTCAAGTGGGCACCAGTAATATCTCCATTGTGATACTTGTTACTGTTTTTGGCATATCAAATATGCCACGGGGAGCTTGCCAGACTCTGCCATGTGGACGGGATAGTCTCAGTAGCTTGTTGGGCTCTCCAAGAGGGATGGAGGAATCAAACCCGGGTTGGCCATGTGCAAGGCAAACGCCCTACCCGCTGTGCTATCGCTTCAGCTCAGGCAGGAGGCATTGGGCTTAAAAACCTCTTATGGAGGGCGATCAGGGTTCCAAGTCTCTTAGGCTTGTGAACCCTCAGCGCTGAATCCCTTGTATGAGTGTGTATTGGTGTGTGAATAAAACCTTGAAAAATCTGTCCCGTCTCTGTGTGTCTCAGTCAGTGGCTGGGCTCAGGCTTGTGGTCACTTAACTTCTGGAGGTGCCACTGAGATCTCTGACCCTTGCTGCTCCCGCAACTGAACGATTCTTCTTTGTGCCTCTGTAACTTGGTGAGCGCGCTCACTCACTTCTGGTCTCTGACCTCTTTTGTCTGTCTCTGATTTCTGACTTCTGTCACTTGGTTTGAGAGGAGGCAGGAGTCCCATGGCTCTGGCTCTGTTATCTGGGTAGGCTCTAACTCATGTTTCTGTGGCACTGTCAAGGTTTATGGAGATTTGCTCCCATGAACTCCCGTGAACAGTGGCAACCAGGTGGCAGTGTGGCAGGGGGAGGGCGCGGGGGATTATACCTGTACTCAGATGCCAAGGTACCTTCAGGTCCTAAGGGGGTCCAGCCAGGCAAGCAGCTGAGTGCTGCCTATCCATATTCGTGGTCTCTGTTTTCAGCACCTAAGTGAGTGCACTCAGTTGGTTGGTGTTTGTGGTTCGTCTGAGACAGGGCTGAGTCCAGGTTAATAGGCTAAACAGTCTGAAACAGGGTTGAGACTTGTCGGGAAGACTTGGATGTGGCCGCGATTACTGAAAGGCAGGTTGCCAGGAGACGGCCTTGGCAGCCAGGGGATGTTCTGGGCTTTTGGCGGTTGAAAGCCAACTTGCGTTTTCCCTCTGTTTGGCAACCTTTCATTCTTCTCGGTGCTCTTCTCGTGTTTCTGGAAGACACTCGGTTTGATCCCTTCCAGAGCAAGGGGCAGTCCATCTGCCAAGGGACCCATTCTCTGGAAGAGATGATGTGCCATCGGTCAGTATGGGACCAAAAGGCCGGGAGCCTCAGTGCCACTGTTGACTGTTTCACTCTCCATACGTTTTGTGAGTTAGAGTGACCCTCATTCGGTGTGGCTTGGCCTAGCAGGGAACTGTGGAGCTTAATTTGTGTCATGTAGTGAGACAGGTGGTGTTTGGGGAATGGCGGGGAACTGGACACCTTGATCAGGTCCCTTATATTAGCATCTGGTTTGATAGTGTTGCATCATGTCCCTCCTGGTTGAAGCCTTTCTGTCCCACAATGTCACCTCAGCAGCCACCAGTTGTGTTATTATGCCTGGCATTACCTGCATTGGTGACCTTGAAGCTCAAGAGAGACCCTGCCCCCCTCAACCCCCTCCTCAGCTGAGGCAAGTGAGAGCTGAGAATGGTGACGGAACAGAGTCTTAGGCTGGTTACAGTTTTGAAGTTAGGAAGTTGATATCTAAGAGTTAAAAGTTCTGGGGTCTCAATGCTAGGACTGCGGGGGAGGGTGTTTGCCTTGCATGCAGCTGACCCGGGTTCAATTCCCCAGCATCCTGTATGGTCCCGCAAGCACTTCCAGGAGTAATTCCTGAGTGCAGAGCTAGGAGGAACCCCTGAGTATTGCTGGGTGTAACTCAAAATGCAAGGGGAAAAAAAGAGTTAAAAGTTCTGACCGCTTTTCGAATAGAGAATACCCAGAAAACAAAATATGTATTTGTGGTAAAAAGGGATTTAAGGTTTAAAACATTCCGGCAGAAGAATTTTATCTCAAGGAAATGAAAGGAAAGAGGAGATAAAACTAGAAGGAAGGTTTGACCTTCAAACTAAGGTAAACATAGACAATCTAAAACTTTGTTCCCTTTCTCTATAGTATGTTATTTTTCAAGGATTGTTTAAAGATATAAGCTTAAACTGCATGTGTGATTTTTTGAAAAGAAAAGGGGAAACATTGAAGTTAAAGTCATTTTAAAAATGCAAAATGCAGTCCATTGGAAGTGATGGAATGGGCAAAGATTGAAGGAAAATGTAGGTAAATGATATGCATGAATCTTGGTGAGTGTTGTAACCCTTTTTATCCATAGGTGTTTTCCTAGGATTCAGAATTCTATGTTATAAGATCCTTAATTGTGAGCATTGGAAACGTTTTGAATACCTATAGGACTGATGTAATGCTTTTGAAAGAGTACTGCTGAGTTCAGTCTAGTCATGCTAAGTGAGGTAATGGTTAGCAACTTGTTTCCAAATTTCTTGGAAGCCTGAGCTCTATTAAGTTCAGTAAAATAAGGAGGTTAAAACCTGTGAGATGTGACTATAAGGAAAGAATATAGATATGTATATTAAGTAAGAAATCTAATTGATGGAGATATCATTAGCAGGGAGCAGGGGGCTGGAAAGGAAGGGAATTCTGTTAAAATGAACTGGTTTTGAAATTAAATGAAGGAAAGTTACAGAACAAAATGAATATAAAGAATGTGTAGAAGGTTTGAGATTGTGTAGAAGGTTTGAGGTTGTGTTTTAAGGAATCAAACGTATTGTTATAAAAGACTCCTTGAATTATGTATGTGGAATTGTTCTAGTATCCAGACTTCTGTTACAGTGCTTGTAGAGAATTGAAAATCAAGGTTTTCAGGTGTAGCACTGTAGCACTGTCCTCCCATTGTTCATCGATTTGCTCAAGAGGACCCAGTAATGTCTCCATTGTGAGACGTGTTGTTACTGTTTTTGGCATATTGCTTGCCAGGCTTTGCTGTGTGGCCGAGATACTCTCCTAGCTTGCCAGGCTCTCTGAGAGGGACGGAGGAATCAAACTCGGGTCGGCAGAGTTAGCTGCTTGCTAGGCAAACGCCCTACCCGCTGTGCTATCGCTACTTAAGGTTTTCAACATGAAGCTAAATAAATTAGACATGATGTTGTTAAACTGTATATTCTCTCTCTACAGAACTTAAATGCTTCTCTTGACTAGGACCCACAACAAATGGGTATATTGCATCTGATTGTGAGTAAAGTGAAGTATTTGCTTTTCTCCTCTTTGTACCTTGAGTACGTTTTTTGATGCTTCATGGCACTATGTTCCTTTCGATAAATCCAGATAGAAAGTATTTCCTCTTTGTAATAGGGTCAACCCTCATGCAGACAGGAAAACCGGCTATGGGAA